TTTTTCATGGTTTCTGTGATAAGGTGACGTTTGAACAGACACTTGGATAAAGTGAGGGAGCAAGGTACATAGAAATAAGTGGGAAGAATATTCAAGCAGAGAGAAAAGCTAGTGCAGAGCCTTGAAATATCCAAGGAAGACTAGAGAGTTCTGTCTAGCTAGAATGGAGTGACCTAGAAGAAAAATACTGGGAGATGAAATCAGAAAAACAGAGACAATATGATGAAGGGCCTTGTAGACCATAGTTAAGAACTTTGGACTTTATTCTGAATGAGATAGGAAGCTACTATAGGATAATTTCAAGCAAAGAAGTGATACTATCTGGTGTCAGTTTTAAGATAAGGAATACCCTTGTTGCTCATTAGATTATGGGGTAAATTATTAAACTGAAGCCAGATTGAAAGTGGAGCTGTAATTGGACTTGATTTTAGATTAGATTTGACTGAGAATGGTGTGAGAGGGTCTCAAAGAAGTTTTTGAACTGAGCAGCTGAAAAAATGGAGTTGCTACTTAAGAATTAAGGAAGGGTAAAGGTAGGGGTTAGAAATAGGAACACAGGAGTTCAGGTTGGGAAATATTGTATATGAGATATCTCCTAGGCAGCCAAATGGAGATGTCTAGTGCACAGTGGATAGACAAATATGGAATTCAAGGGAGAAGTTGGAGTTAGAGATACACATTTAAGAGCCATTCATCTATAAATGGTATTTTAAGTATGGAACTGGTTAAGATCACTGGAGAGGAGAGTTAAGTAGAGGACTGAGAGATCTGAGGCCCAGGGCCCTCTTACAGTTCTGGAAGATGAGTCGGAACCAGTAGAGAAGACTGAAAAGGAGAACTGAGAAAACTGACAGAATAGAAAACAAGAGAGCACTGTTAACGGTTGCCAAGTAAAGAAAGCAATTCAAAGATGAAGAAGTGGTCAACTGTATCAAATATTGCTTAAAGGACAAGTAAGATGAGCATTGGACTTGATAATGGGGAGGTCACTGGTGATGTTGACAAAAGTGGTTTTCAAACAGCTGTTGGGAAGAAAACCTCATTAGTGTGACTTCAAGAGAGAATGGGAGGGAAGGAAGGCTAAACAGGATTTTGAAGATTTTTGTTCCAATGGGAGCATAAAAATTGAGTGATAGCCAGAAGGAAATATAGTGCACAGGAGAGTTGTTTTTTAAAATGAGGCATATACAGCAGATTCGATGTTGATGAGGTCTTTCCTGTAGAGGGAACAATATATGATTAAGAAAGAAAGGGAGTAGTTCTTACTGTTATTTTACTGATTTATTGACACTGCTACTAATTATTACCACTACTGTACAATGAGAACTGGTATTTCAGATTCATATC